GGTAACCCCACTATGGAACGAGAATCCCACAACAGGGAAGGGCAAGTAGGCTTCCGCCCTAGACGTGGTTGTGTAGACGACATATTCACTCTGCAGCAGGTGCTGAAGTAGCAGGCCGACGATAGCTGTGTACCTCGACTTCAGGACGGTGTTCGATTCAGTTGATCAATCGATCTCGTTCGAAATACTCGTTCGGAAAGGTATTCACATGAAATATGTGAACATTTTACATGAGCTATACTCGAAAACGACAGGCTGCGCCAGGCTCCACTGTGAGTTATCGGATATCTCTACGGCAACAAGTGGCGTTCATCAGAGTTGTCCGCTTGAGCCAGTTTCGTTCAATTTCGTCGTGCGTTCCTTCACGGAGTGTTCACTTGCGGAGCCTCATGATGTATGCGTTGTTTTCTAGTGAAAGACAACATGCACTTGATTATATGGATAATTTCGCCTTGCTGATAACCGATGTTGGGGCGGCCTAATCAACCCTGAATAACCTCTCTAGAGTGGTCCCATCATTTGGCATGCGCTTCGTGCTTTCGAATTGCAAAGTAACGTTGTAGGACCACTAGTCACTTCATGACCCCTTGACACTAGATAGTAAAGAACTCGAGGTAGTTTATAAATTCACTTACCTTGGCAGCCGCATCAGCAACGATGAGCGCATAGCAACTGAAATCAGTTCAAGCATTGCAAAAGACAGACATGCCTTGTGGAATCTGCGACATCGATGGAATCAGAAAGAGATTTCTCTATGCGTGAAAGATCGTTTTTACAATGCCTCAATGAGGGTCGTAATACGCCATTGGAGTGAGGGTTGGCCGCTTCGGTCTGACTGACGATTTGAGACGCCTTCAAGTCCTTAATCATTACTGCTTGTTGAGCATTGTTAGTGTCGGATGGCACAGTGTATCCCGCAACGATGATGTGCGTAGGCGAGTACTACGCAGTGACAATAAGGCTAGCCCCTTCGAACAAAAACTGTTGAACAAGTTGTGTTTACTTGGGGTCGCATTACGTATGCTCGTTCACCCCTTATTGAGAACCTTGTTGTATGCCAGAAGTAGGGTGACGCAGGGTTCGAGATAAGCGAAAGTTAACTTGGCAGTAAGAAATGAAGTCAATGACGACCAAACTTGGTGCTGTTTGTCTGTCTCGCCTTCCAGGCTGGAGTCCACGTGACTCGCTTTGTGCATGGCTTGAGACGTTACAGGACATGGCTTGAAGCCGGCACCAGTAACGCGTCTGCTGCCGCCTCACAGTTTGACTGCTTGTTAACTATGTGTTTGGTGCTGAGTTGCGTGCGGGGGAATGGCTGATTACGACGCGGAGCAGTGAGAGTCGCCGTCTCGCTGATGCCGCATTATCTTCGCACCACAGCCAGCTGTTTGTGACGGTATGTTGTTAACACAAGATGTAGGTGCCTTGACCCTGAATGTTTGCTTAGGGGATTAAGGTTTTTCAGTGAGTCCCCCTCTCTCGCTCTTGTTATTCTTCGTCCCGTAGATCGCCGTGGCTGTATGGCAGCGGATGCGCTGCTGTCTTATTATTTTATTATTGCGGCACCGTAGTTGAAGTGATTCTCACCTACAGCTAATGATGATGATGACGATCCGTTCTCGGTTAAACCCTCGGAGAAGTCAACGGATCACGTACCAAATGATTTGAAATCATTAGGATGATGGTAGTTTGGAAAAGAGCGTCCAACTACATGTTGCACATCCGCAAGACCATGGAATCTCGTAGGGACCCTTCGCTGCCAAGCGACCATTAGAGATCGTGTGTGACCTAGGGATAAAATGATGCTTGCGGATTAAGAACTAGGGGCAGTCAGTCGCCCCATGAATTTCATGTGAGATTTATCAACGTGAAGTTGCTCCATTTTTGGTGGCACTGTTTTGTGAGTCATTTGAAGAAAACCCGCTGTTGACCCGATTACGCTGAACGCCTTTTCCGTAGAGTGCAGCGCATATTGCGTCTAATCACAGAGTGGATAGCTTCCTGTGTTCACTCTCACACTCACACTTTGGCTTTTACAGAGACCGCTCTTCACCATGAGGTTCCAATGTGGTGGGATCGCGGTCGGTGTGTAAGGTAGTCCGGTCCTAAGATAGTTCGCGAAAATGTTAAATCTGCATACCTCCGGGTTTTCCCAGAGCATTAGTATGCAAGCTTGTGTTGTGTGCACGTTCACATTGGACTACGATTGGCACTGATTAACAAAGCAAGCTGTTCCGCAAACATTTGTTCATCTCTCATTTCGTGCGATTTTTAGTGCTTGCTTAATTCATATCCATACGATTACGCGGTAATGCGATTCTGTTCGTCTTTATCCAATCCACACATTCGTAGTGCTTAGTCCTGAATAGTGTGAACAGATGTTGCTACGGTTACGTGTGGACAACTTCATTGTTTATTCTGGACCCGTTTTCCACCTCTAGCTAATGTGTATAATGATTCATTCATTCATTCATTATACATGTTAGCTGCAGGTGGAAAACACCTCAGCTATTGTGCCGCAATACAAAAGACAAGAAAAGGAAAACAAACAGTGGCACGCCCGCTGAGTCCCCAGTAACGGATGGACATCGTTCCGGAGAGCTAACAGCTGGCTGCCGTAAAAGAAAGTCATATTATGCCTAACGATTGAGATCGTGATTGGAGGGGGAGGCAAAGCAAGAGGGGGGTTGACAAAGGAACTCAACACGAACGTCATTTGGGCCGGCTCCTAGCCATATCAGCAAGTGTGTCCAACCAAACGTGTTCATCGTCCTTAGGACCCCAGCCAGGCAGTCGGGATGCACCAAATGACGCCAACTTCGAAGTGAGGGTTTCCATTCCTCTCGACCAAGTCATCGCTTGACCTCCCCTCCTTCTCTACTAATCGCACCCCCCCCCCGCGAGAAAGAAATACACGTCGCGAAAGTCGGTGTTTTGGTATGCGCAACACGTGGCCCAGCCATCGGAGCTTGGTGCGTGATATGATGGTGCTGAGCGGTTCACTCGCTCTTCCTGCACCAAATACACGACGTCGAACACGATCATTGCTCACACGGTGTTCCCACCAGACATGAGCTAAGCTGCGAAAGCAGCGATGATAGAATGTGAGGAGCCTCTTTATGTCTGTAGACTTGATGGGCGGAGTTTTACAACCATATAGGAGAGATTGAGAACCCTGTCTCCTTTCTAGCCGGGGGCGACTTGACAGCCTCTCAGACCACGTACAACCATGACTAGTTTCTCGAGATTCAAACATATCTTGCATCAGCCGTCGCGCAGCTTATTAAGGGTCGCATTATTTTCTGCATACAGCAGGGCGGATAAGCGAAAACATGATACTGCTGGCGCCTCCTTTCCGTCTTTTCCACCTGTTTCTCTTACTCCCATCAAAACCTCATTACTAGCCTTCCTAATATAATCCACAGCCGAATTGACAATAGCCGTATGGCCACTGGAGGCGCACCATCTGCAGCTACCTTCCCGTATCCTCTACCAAACGGTTATCGGTAACAACCTCTCAAAAGTCCACTGTCCCGTTTCCTTAGCGACGTCCAACGTTCGCACTCTAAGGCTAACAGTCGATCGGCTGTACTCGCACGCACGATGGGCACAATGTAACTCGACGGACAACTGAGCGAGAACTAAGCTGGAGCCTAAGTGCTAGCATGAAAACCTGGTGAACGAGTAGGGTTCAAAAAATGTAGGGAGCAGGAGCGGTAGACAATTATCGCAAGCTCTTCCAACTGATCCACACCACTGGTCCCAGAAAACCTTCATCATCACTACACATTAACTGAAGGTGAGAAACACAGCTCAACTATCGTGCCATAATATAAAAAGATAAAATAAGCGAAAAAGTGAGGTACGAAACAGTATGGAATACAAAAACAGGTTACAAAAATTCCATGGTGCTTAAAGAAGCGAAGATAAGCGGGATAGGGAAAGACAAAGAAACTCATAAGACAAACGCCATTAAGATGGGCTCCTCACTATGTCAACTAGTGTATCCAACCAAACATATTCATCGTGCTTCGGACCCCAGGTCGACAGTCAGGAGGCACCATCCGACACCAAGTCCGAAGTGAGGAACTTCATTCCTCTTGACTAATTCATGAGTTGGTCTCACCTCCTTTTCTTCCATCCACACTCGCGGTTTGCGCAAACTACGCACGTCGCGGGAATTGATGTGTGTGGGAATAGGCGTCCCAGAAAACCAGGCGTCAGCGAGACAAAGACAGAGTGGGTGCTCTGATACACAACAAGAATTTCCGTGTGGCTCGTGGGATGAAGCACTTTTCAGAGCAATTCAGCTGGACCCCGGACCTGGACCTATTCCTACTCAGGTTGTCATAGACTGTTAGTTTAGAAGCTCCATTGGAGGCTGAGGTCCGAAAAGCGATCATAATACTTAACCGTTTAGATTTCAGAGTATGGCTCACAGTCGGCAATAGTAGCGTGTCTGCTATCGTCTCCTTGTTGGATTATCTATTTAAAGTGTGTTTGGTGTTGAGTTATCTGCAAACTAACAGCTTATAGTGATGTAGGGCAGTGAACTCGCAAGGAAGCTGTCTGGCTGACGTCGCCTTTACACGATAGCCAGCTGCTTGTGATGACGTAGGCGCTTTGATCCTGAATGTCTACCTATGACATCAAGGTTTTGCGCTAGGTCCCCATTTCCTTCCTTCGGTAGATCCCCATGGCGTCATGGCAACGAAGTATCAGTTGATATGGCTGATGTAATTCTGTTGATGGTGGTGATGACTAACTAGAGAAAATGTCAACTATACTTCAGGAAAACTTCTAACTCCCAGTACATAGAGCGAGAAGGACATTCCGATGAAGGATGCAACGGTCTCCGCAAAACCGATGATCAGAAATCATCCCAGGCTATGTTAGGAAATGCAACAATGAACACAACAAAATACGCCACATAGGTGGGTGCCGCGATGTAATGCAAGAAGGACTCTAGGTGACGTCGAAATAATCACACATTGACTCACTTCGTCGCCAACACAGCGAAAGGAAGATAGGAGATGAGAAGGATCCAATCCCGCTGAGGAAGACCCAAAAAGCCCATTAATGATAAGCTTCGGTGGTGTGGTGCCTAGTGGTCCGGAATCGGCATCGTTCGGAGCCCCCGTAGCCGATCCAAGTGAACGACGGACGCGGGGATAGCTCGTTCTGTAGGTAAGTAGGAAAATGAAAAAAATAAAGTAGCAAAATTGTGTCATCACGTTGTACGGACGCTCCGCTGCCGCCGCGCGAACGGCAATCAAATGTGAGGTTGACTGTAGCTGCTACGCAGGCTCAAACTGGTAACCCGTCGACTACAAGCCAGATGCATGAACTACTTGGTTACTGGTAGCATAGAGAATTGGATAGCAGTGATGCTTACCTCGGCTTTGTTGTGCTGGAGTTTCGATTGTACGCAATAACGGAGAAAACAGCCATGGACGAATTTGGAAACCCTGGAGGACGCACTGAAAACCTGTGCAAAAGGAGCCGAAGCAGCAGCAAACATCATCGATCGGTACTTGTGAAACTAAAAGAGGTGTTGTGTCGTAAACTGAACAAATTGAATGTGCTCGGGAAGAAGGAGCACACTGGTGAGACACAAATAGAATCCATGGTAGACAGATAGGTAGATATTGAAGTCCGCAAGAGTGCGCATATTCCAAGAAAATACTATAGAATCACATGTGGTGGCGGCTGGGCATGTGATGTGGCAGAGGTGTGTTAAGGTGGTTGGAAATTACTCTCGTATATATATATATATATATATATATATATATATATATATATATATATATATATATATATGCAACAGTCTACGAATAGACATAGAGCCATTACAAACCATGGGACTCCAAAGAAGGTACAGAAATAGTAAAAGAAAACACAACACATCGGAGTCCATGGTTTCATCAGAGGGCGAGATACTACCCGGTTGCCCAAGCCGAAGTAGGGTGTTGACTTAGGGGACACCACCCCGAGCCTTTGGCTGAATAGCCTGCCCGCAAGGCAGTGGAGCGAATTCAGGGGATCATGCGCATTGGGAGCCGGTGACTGATTGCTCAGTTCATACGCCTTTCGTTTGTTCGTTTGTGAAACAGGGGCCCAATGCTCCCCAGAATTACAGCATAAAGTTGCTGGAATACAATGCTTCGCCAGGATGAAGCAAGGCGCAGTGACGTTATTTAGTGGCGAGTCACATGCGCCACGTCACAGTGTTGTTAGACAAACATTTGTGGCTTTTATAGGGAGAACGCTTGCTAGGCGAAAACCCATTACGTCCTGGAACACTGCTGCCGAACCATTTGCTGGAACGGGAAAATCCCGAACCACCCAGCTGGCACCACGGGGAGGTTGTTCTTAGTATTGTTACAATGCAGAAAAGCAAGTCGCCATAGAGATATCGCGGAAAGTAAGGAGACAAAAGCAGTGCGAGGAATAAGAGAGCATACAAGGAAGAATAAAAGCTAAATGTGAAGGTAGCAATGATGATGAGCAGGTGTCACAAGTGATGGGACAAAAGCATCTTCCGGACAAGGAATGGCTCCCAAACCATCTCTTCAAAATAGGACTTAAACACTGTATGCGTGTGAAAAAATCCAGTGGAAGAATGAACATAGAGCCGACAAAAACCATGGAACTCAAAGCAAGGAACGGTTATCGTTTAAGGAAAACCGAACACCGAACACCGGGAAATGCATGTTTTTGTCGGCTACCCAAGCCGAAGTAAGGTGATGTCTTAGAGGGCCCCACTTCTAGTGTTAGGCCAAATACATTATGCACAAGGCAGCAGGACGAAGTCGGGGAATTGTGCACATTGCGATCCGGTGACCGACTGCACAGCTCATTTGCCTTTCGTTTGCTCGGTTACCAAACAGAGGCCCAATCATCCTCACGAATTTAGCAGTAGGTTGCTGAACTCTGAGGATGCGCACCAATGACGAGCCCCAATAGGGCGAAAGGCGTATTGTGCTTTTCTGCATTAGACTATGCTATGTGGCTTGTGAGCTACTGGGACGAATAGATTAAAATTAAGAACTGAAATCCTCCCACTCATAAGTAATGTAATTCCGCCTAGTTTAAAATGTTACGTATATATCGTCTAGTGAGAGGAAGTCATGACCCGAAGGCTGGCCACTGTCATCTGCAAGTGTAGTAACCTGCGTGGCAGTGGAAGATACGTCGTGCTATATCCTAGTTAGCTTGCATATTATGTAGCCCAGCCCATGGTTCAGTGGCTTAGGATGCTGGCTAGTTGTTGTCAGCCTCTAGCAGTCAGGGGTTCGAACCCCAGTACGGGGACCGAGGGAATGCGCACCACTGACGAGCCCCAATAGAGCGAAACGCGTACGGTGCTTTTCCGGACTAGCCTATGCTATGTAGCTTGTGAGCTGTTGGGACGAATACATTAAAATTACAACCAAAATCCCCCTACTCAAAGTAAACAAACGACTTGAGATAGCAGTGGGAGTACAATTGATCGGATTAATTGAAATGAAACAAATCACAGGTTGGCTTGCCGAACAACCTCCTCGTGGTGCCAGCTGGGTGGTTCGGGATTTTCCCGTTCCAGCAAATGGTTCGGCAGCAGTGTTCCAGGACGTAATGGGTTTTCGCCCAGCGAGCCTTCTCCTTATAAAAAGCCACATATGTCCGCTTAACAACACTGTGACGTGGCGGACGTGACTCGCCACTAAATAACGTCACTGCGCCCCGCTTCATCCTGACTAAGCATTGTATTCCAGCAACTTTATGCTGTAATTCTACGGAGCATTGGGCCCCTGTTTCACAAACGAACAAACGAAAGGCGTATGAACTGAGCAATCAGTCACCGGCTCCCAATGCGCATGATCCCCTGAATTCGCTCCACTGCCTTGCGGGCAGGCTATTCAGCCAAAGGCTCGGGGTGGTGTCCCCTAAGTCAACACCCTACTTCGGCTTGGGCAACCGGATAGTATCTCGCCCTCTGACGAAACCATGGACTCCGATGTGTTGTGTTTTCTTTTACTATTTCTGTACCTTGTTTTGAGCTCCATGTCTATTCATAGACTGTTGCAATATATACATATATATATATATATATATATATATAATCACGTGTCCGCCAGATTCGTGAACCGAGGGGCAATCTTAGCTAGGGAGCAATTGCGTTTTTAATCATGCACAACTGGCTTCCACGTCTTTCACTTTTGCTGAGCAAGGCAGCTGCAGTGTCTGGAGTGGGTACTTTTGGGAACATAACGGAGGTTGAAGCAACCGAATACCGATTGCATCGGCTGCCGCAAGCATACGGAGGCGTAAGCCACTTGATTGCAACGGAGGAATCCTGTAGATGACCCGAAAGGCACGGTTCACTTCTATCTGATTGCCAGTATCCAAAAGGTGAGTCAAAATGGAGCTCCAGTGCCACCTTGGCGTAACCAACGTGGGTGATGCTCATTGACGCGCTTTGACAGGTGCTGCGCCGTTCGACCGGCATACGGGCGCAAGCAAATTGATAAATGACCATTGAAGCGAGCGGCTTCGGCAACATGTCCTTGATTTGCGTACGAATGAGCGGTTATGAAGAGAAGGTGTCTCAGGGTGGCCACAGGGAAAGTGGATCTAACTGCAGACGACAGGCTTCTAGCTAAACGTTCTGTAGCCGCATCTCCTCTGAATGACAGTCTAATGAATAGCTCGTTCTTCTAGACTAGTAAAACCGGTAGCGGTCTGGGTTTCTCCTGAATGTTCCCAAAGAGGAATCTCTGTCAGGGTACTCATTTTCACGCAGCATATTCCGAATGAATACAAGCTCATAATGCAGCGCGTGTTCAGTACAAATGTCACGAATCAATCTGCGCTTATATCGCAGTGACAAAGCTGTCAAAGTTGGCATATCGTCCACTCCACGTATATTTTCGCTATACCTGATGTTGGATGGAGCCGTCCGTTCTTCTGACTAGCAGCACGTTAAGAAATAGTAACCGATTACTTATTTCCCTCTCATACGTAAACTGCCTCGCCGCGTGGGCCTGATTAACTTAGTCGAGAACTTTGTCGATGATAGTGTTCTTATCAGCTACAACAAAAATATCGGCGGTGGTAGCATTCAAAGGTGTTTATCTTCGTTTGTAGCTTGGTTTTCTCTAATTTTGCCATGAAAATATCAGCCAACAGTGGACCAAGTGGAGAACCCATAGCAACACCATCCTTCTGCCGGTAGTATTTACCAGCAAATAGGAACTGCAGGTTCCAGATACTCCGAAAAAGAAGGCACTTCAACTCACGCACCGGCACACACACCATAAGTGAATTTGTTATATGGTCACATATGTAATCGACCGTTTCCAGTAGAGGAACGTTGGAGAAAAGTGAAACTACGTCGAGGGAGAACATAACTTTGCCATTGATGTCGTAATATTTGATGTTTTCAATGAAAGGAAAACTATCCCGAAGTCACGTGATTTGTTTTATTTAAATTAATCCGATCAATTGTACCCCCACTGCTATTGTCCTTACCTGTTGATCGTATTTCCCAGCTTCGTAAAGGGATCGCATACGTTTCACCACCATGCGAGGTGGCAGCTTTAGTGCGGTGATGGGCAGTGTATAATCCTGCTTATTGAATCGTCAGTCCGTCATCCACGGGTAGGTGACTTTTGAAGGTGGCAATTTCGACTTGCGCCACGTGATCTCTGCCCATTTGCTTCCGCGGCTGAACCATGTCTTGGGATTCGCCGGAGATCTTCCTTTCTGTTGATGGTACACGGGGTCGATGTCGATGCGCATGTTGATCGAATTATCAGAGGAGTACCATGCTTCTAGGAATTCTCTTCCTTTCTGTATTATTGTTTGAGCTAAAATCACCGTTTTGTTCTAATTGAAGCTATGTCCCTCCTCATCTACATGCGCTGGATTGTACACTGCCTATCACCGCACTGAAGATGCCACCTCGCATGGTGGTGAAACGTATGTGATCTCTTTACCAAGCTCGGAAAAACGATCAACAGGTGATCAACCAAGCCGGGCTACCAGTGTTCCAAATTAGTTCGCTATTGTCCTTTCGTGATTGTACAGGTCTGATGATGAATCACAGAAAACAATCGTTCACCTCTGGCCCAATGTTCGTGATACTTAAATGAGGATTCTCAACTCGGCACGCAAATTTATTTTATTGGCGCAGCTTTTACTGAGTTGCCAATACCGCGTAGCATATTTCTAAACTATATAACCGTATCAGTACTACATGGTTGAAGCTCCAACACGTGGTCACAAAATCCAAAAAACTAAGCCTCAATAAACACCTCATGCAATCGTCGAGTGAGCATCTTGTAACCCGGCCCGAATGATCACGCTTCCAATTGTAGCGTGTCAAGCGTTGCACACTTACTAGAGTCCAGGATATTCGGGTATGCACCAGCAATACTTCGAGCCGAGCTAGTGCGTCCCCCCTTAGGTACGACCGTTAAAGGGGTTCACAACAATGAGCGTATACAGCTCAACAACAGATGGAAAAGTTTTCGGCTACATGTATCGAACGCGTGTTGATTTTCAGCAAGTCTCTAAGTTAGGCTTGAGGGGCTTCTAGATGAACGGGAAAGGTCGCAAGACTTCCAAACTGTGCCGAGCGTTGCTCGCGGATCTGAGTGGCATAATAATCAAGGCGTCAGTCGTTAACCACTAGGCCCCGAGTTCAACACCAGCTCAGGTTATCTCCATCTGATGAGTCCAAACGAGGACGAAACCGTCGGTCGTGAGGTGTCAGTGTTGGGAGGCGCAACACGGAATCACCTCCACGACGCGAGACATCCGTTTTCTTATATCGTTTGTCTGTAAATTTGAAATAAGTCAATTCGTATAGGCATCAACGAGGTATGGGGGATTACGGAAGTTGGACTTTCGCCATGGGGAGAAGAGAATCCGAGAAATTAACCTATCTGAGAAATCATTACATAATACACATCAAAATGAACAAAACTGTTGTCCTTTCCATACAAACGGTATGAATGATGGGTGCAAGATCGACTTACCGTCTACAGGGAACGTTGTTCAGAATGCTGGAAAACGTTTTGCAATCAACCGAACCCCGGGCGCTGATGCATGGCCTGCGGTTGAGTAAAACTTTTGAGGCGGTAGACTCGACGGTTAGTGAGTGAACTTGCTCGGAGCTCGATGTCCGACCGTTAGTCGTCGGTGGCACCTGAATGGCTGTATAATCAAGTGAATGATGAAGGTAAAGTAGTATAATTACAGCATTAATGCCATGATTTTACATAGTGATAACAAAACGCGTTCAGTTGCAAATGTACCTATTAAAGGTGGATGGTTGTCGGTGGAAGAGAAAAAGGTTGGAACATCGGCTTAGAACCCAAAACAAGGAAGCAAATTACGGTGAGAAATAGTGTTCTCGATCCGAAGGAGCCAGAAACGTTCTTAAGCAAGGAGCAGTAGCGAAACAAAGATCAAACAGAGAAAACGAATGGCGCGTATATTCAACAATAAGAATAATAATAACACACTGTGCGTTGCAGTGCGAAAGCTGAAACCGATGGTCAAACATGTTTCTCGTGCAGCCGCAACCAAATCCATTGAGAAACAATGCCAAACGACAAAATACAAAGGGTAAAATGAGGCAAACAATTGTGGGTACGCGGATCCGGGTTAAAAAATTATGAAACAAGAATTCTAAGACGTGTGTTGAAAACGTTGGCAGTTTCTCTTATTATTTACAAAGCCGTGATAGACCCGTAATTGGTACTAAGACCGCAATTCGGCCGCCTGTGCAGTTTTAAACAAGCGGAACTATCAGTGACGAATGCCGCATAGCACAGGAGCCAGTTCGCAAGCCAAAGTAAAAGATCAAGGAAATACAGTAGTACATATATATATATATACATATATATATATATATATATATCACACCATTGGAATCATGCCTGAAAAGGAAAACAGTATGAATATTCTTGTCCGTCGCAGTATGAATAATGAGAAAATAACAACAACAAAAGCTTTTTTGCTCAGTTCACCACTCACCGTTTTTGAAAATATTTTTTAGGCGGAGGAAGGAGGGATACCACAACACACCGATGCACACATCCAACGCCACTGACATCGATCTTGAGCCATGACTTCTTAGGTCTACAACCACCAAGTATCCGCATCTCTCGGACCCCAACCAGATAGTCGACAACAACCGGCCGAGGCCAAATGTTTCGTCAGCTTTTTCATGCGGCTTCTCCAAGTTGCAGGCTCTCCACTAGACCGCCTCTTCCAGCCCTGTCCAGTAATCACAAACAACGCACGACGCGCGTAACGCTAGACAGGAATGCGCAATACGTGTCCCAGCCACCGCAGTTGATGCAGTGAGGCGAGCTCCTCGGGCAAGCAGCTTTCTCGTCCCAAGATATGCTGTCCAACTTCCACATTGCTCACGTAGTGCCACTACCAAGCATCACAGACAGCGATGCTCGAAGAGGGATAGTCTGCACAAATCACCTTTACGAATGGGCATCCGTACAACAGTACAGCACGAACAGTTGCACAATAGACCCGCCCTTTGATGGAGAGACGAATGTCGTGGCGACGCCACAAGTGCCTCAGTTTAGAAAAAGCGAGGCGTGCTCTTGAGTTGCGCATCGAAATCTCGTCTCCAACAACGCCGCCAGCGGTGATGCAACTTCCCAAGTAGACAAAGCTCTCCACAACCTCCAGTGTCTCACCACCAAGAGTGAGTGCAGGCACAGGCACCTGCCAGTCTTAAAAGGGATCCTGGCATTTGGATGGCGATAAGTACATACCATACTTCGATGCTTCAATCGCCAAGCGGCTTAGTGCAAGTTGGACGGCGTGTGGACCGCCACCCAGGACGACGATATCATCAGCATACTCCAAATCAATAACTCGACTACCTGGGAGGAGTTCAATGCCAAGGCGTTCTTTAAGACATCCTCAATGGCAAAGTTTAACAGGAACGGAGAAATAGGGCATCCTTGTCGAACTCCACTGGAAACCACAAACGTAGGCGAAAGCTTACCATAAACCCCAACACTGCCCGAGATCAGACTATAGAGAGCGCGCAGTATGGAGATGAACTTCTCGGAGACACCATTCCTCAGTAGGCAGTGCCATAGTACCGTCTGGTCGCCAGAGTCGAAGGCTGCATGGATATCCAAGAACACAGCAATTGTTGGCCTCTGATACAAATGGCGGAGCTCAAGGAGTTGGCGGAGTGTGAAGATTTGATTGATGCAACCGCGATCACGGCGAAACCCAGTTTGTTCTTCTCGCTGCTACGATTCGCACGTTGGGGATAGCCTGCGAAGTATGATGGACACCAGGAACTTGCAAACGACGGGGACTAAGCTTATGCCTCTGTAGTTGGAGTAGATTGTGCGCAGGCCCTTTTGGAGATGGGGACAGCTATCGATTCAGAACAAGATGATGGAACTTCCTTTCTCGGCCAAACGTTCGAGAACAAAGCGGTGAGTTCTCGAACCAGCGAAGCGCCACCACCTTTAAATACAGTTGGAGGAAGACCATCATGGCCGGGAATTTTATAATGCTTCATGTGGGGGAGCTCCTGTTCGATTTCCTGATAAGAGGGAGGATCAGTGGGGGTTGGCCACTTGGCCCCACATAATTGTCACATGAGAAGGTCCGGAAAGTTGAAATATCACATCAACACAGCCGAGCGCTACGTGTGTACCGTCTCCGTTAGATGTGAGCAAAGCCGACAGGTAGTAGAGAAATTAGCAGTTCCTTCGATACTAGGAGTCCGGTTCAAAAGCAATGCAAAGCATCCAATGGACGGAAATATTGTGGATCAAGCCTCACAGTAAAGGCACCAGCAGTACGTCGGGATGCAGTATTGACGCAGGCAGGTTTCTACCCAGGACGTGGCTGTACAGACCATATACTCACTTTGCGGCAGGTGATAGAGCAGCGCCCCGCATACCGCAGATCGACAATAGCTGTGTCCCATGATTTCAAGAGCGCGCCCGATTCGGTTCGAAATACTTGCGCGGAAAGGTGTTCCCAAGAAATATGTGAACATCCTTCGTGCTCTTTACTCGAACACTACAGGCCGCGTCAACGTCTACGGTGGCCTATCGGATAGCTTTCCGACCACAAGTGGCGTTCGTTAGGGTTGTCCGATTTCCCCATTTTTGTTCAATTTCGTCGAGGACTCTATCATGGAGTGTTCCCTTGCGGAATCTCACGATGTAAGCGTTGAGGTCCTGCCTGGTGAAAGGTTAGTTGATCTTGATTATGCGGACGATATCGTCTTGCTTTTCGACGATGTTGAGGCGGCACAACCAACTCTGAATAGCCTGTCTAGAGTGGTCCCATTAGTTGCTATACGCTTTGCACCTTCAAAGTGCAAAATGTTGCTGCAGGACCACCAGCCACTCGATGACCCCTTGACCCTTGATAACGAGCTCGAAATGGTTGATCAATTCAATTATCTTGGCAGCTGTATCCGCAATGATGGGCATCAGCTCACGCATTGCAAAAACCAGAGCTTCCTTCTTGAACCTGCGGCATCTTTGGCAACAGAAGGGAATTTCCCTCCATCTGAAAGGCCGTGTATACAAGGTCACAGTGAGGGCCGTTCTGCTCTATGGTAGTGAGACTTGGCCTTTTCAGGTCTGAAGATCTGAGACGCCTTCAAGTCTTTGATCATCGTTGTCTGCGAAGCATTGTTGGTGTCGGATGGCATCGGCGTGTCCGCAACGATGATGTGCGTAGGCGAGTACTAGGTGGTGATAATCATGCTATCTTCCTAGAACAACAGATAGCACTGAATAAGTTGCGTTGGCTCGGGCACGTGCTACGTATGCCTGGTCACCGCTTACCTAGGAGGGCCTTGTTTAGCCTACCAGGTGTAGGGTGGCGCAAGCCTTGAGGTTGACAGAAGTTGAGTTTGCAGCGGCAAATGAAGTCACTGACGACTAAACTGGGTGCCCTTGGTCCGTCTCGTCTTCCAGGCTGGAGTCTACGTTACTCGCCTTGTACTTGGCTCGAGAATTTACAGGACATGACTCGCAACGGACATCAATGGCGCGTCTGCTGCAGTCTCCTAATCGGATTGCCTGTTGAAAGTGTGTTTGGTTCTGAGTTATCTGCGGGGTAATGGCTGATTATAACGCAAGGAAGCTGTCTCGCCGATGCCGCCTTATCTTTGCACGATAGCAAGCTGGGTACGTTGTCTACACAAGGTGTAGGCGCCTTGACCCTAAATGTTTGCTTAGGGCATTAAGGTTTTCAGGTAAGTCCCCCTTCTCGCCCTTTTATTACTCTCTATTTCATAGGTCGTCATGGTTGTATGATAGCGAAGCATCAGTTCAAATAGCTGGTGTACTGCTGTTGTTGATGATGATGACTGACGCTTCGCTGCCACGCAACCACTACCAGTTGCGTGTGGGCAAACGATACGGCGAGGATCGCTCGGCCCCCTACGCAGGCTACAGACTCTGCGACCTTCGGATTACAATGCATGCTTGTGATTCTTTTAGCCAGGGGCCACGGGCACTTAAGATGTTGAGGCGAATGATAATGAAATTCCTCTAAAACCCTGGAATTAAACCATTTGTGATCTCAACATACGAGTTGACAGAGTCAAACTGTTACATCAACAATTGTGCATCCACAAAGATGGTGAACAACATACATGAGTTTGCAAACAAATCAGTTTTACGATATGAGAGCAAAAAATACCATCCGGAATGGTTCATCATAGGTTTGTTTGTGAGACTCCTCGCAGCTAGACTTTCAGCGGTTGTGATTACACTATATTTCATCTTTGTTTTTAACATTTCTGTTACCGGCCATTTTGTACCATTTGTTTAAATTCACAAAGGTTGAAGACAACAATTTCTACGCGTTCGCGTCAAACAGCCACCACACATGAAGAAAAGCGCTAGTCGAAGCTCTGTCCCCTGCAAGTTCATAACATACATTGAGGAAGATGAGACGTGCTGTATCGCAGTTAGATATCAGTCCTGGTGGTCTGCGGCGGTCAGCACAATAGCAAAAGTGGCTGACTCGCAAGATTTTGGGTTCGGGCTCAGCGTGATACCGTGCATGCGCTCTACTGACGAGTCCTAATAAGACGAAACGGCTGTCTATCGCTTTGCTGGAGGTGTGGTGGCTATCTGGCTGAGTCTAGTTGTGATGAATATTCTCAAAAACCTTCAAGGTGGATCTTAATGGCTTCGAAAGCAAGCAGAGTAGAAAGAAAACACGGGCAAAAACGGCAGTAGTAGCGAGATATTTTGTTGTATACACTAATTGTACGACGATAAGACGAGAGTTAACTGGAGTGCCAAAACCTATTTCCTAGCTAAACAATTACGGCACAAAGTTTGAGACACACACAAAATCAAAGGTGCGATTACAGTACACCGCTCACAAGTTTCATGGAACTCCGGTGTCAAGCACGAGACAAGACTGAGGACAGATGTTCACACTTCACAGAAGCGTTTTCCGGGTGAGAAAAGAATCGACTTGGTTGAAGGAACTTTCCAAATAGAAAAATATAGCTATAATCCGTCAGCAGTGAACGAGAGTCTAATTCATACACCCCCTCCCGACCGCATCTGTGACTCACGCCCCTCAGTAAGGCGGTGAGTGAGAATGTGAATGCTATCGATGTTAGGCTGATACACAGCAGTTAATGTTGTGACAAATTTTCGCGAGAAGTTTAACGCAAATCAACTAACTGCGATCGGTCAGGAAGGTTTATTACAGTTGTATGCCCGGACAAGTATGAATCAAATGTGGTATATGAATTTAATCGCACACGTGGTGCTAAATACCTCCGAAATACGACCAAGCACTGTCGACGGAGAGCTGACCACTGTCCCGAGTCTCTGTGGAAAAGTACCTTCGGAAGTATCAGTTCCATCGTTGAACACCTGGTTTACAAGGAATACAAAATGCTGACCAACGATGCTTTTAACGGTTTCCCTGGCCCGCAGCCTAAAGGTAACAAGCTTGTCTTGTAATCTGACAATGCGGGTTCGAGACTGCGTAGGGGCGGGGGCGAACCTCGCAGTACCCTTAGCCCACGTGGGACCGGCGGTGGCTACGCGGTAGCGAAGCGTCGGTACTGCGAATCGGTGCACCGTTAATGCTTTTCTTTTTCGTCGTTTTCTATACCGCGCCAAAGCGACATCTTAAAGGGCTTGGAACGTGCCTTCTAAAGACAGCCGAAGCGATAACGATGACATTAACGCAGCCAGAACAGAGGATACGGTAGCAAATCTAACGAATATCTATCTGCATGGAACGCGGATGATGACCGAGAGTGGCTTCATCTCCCCGCTGACCCAATTTGCCTTCATGAAGAGGTCAGTGAACTCTCTCAGGTGAGGTCATATCAGATCAGCTTCCATCAATCGGTTTGACTCCCGTTCGAATAAACTGATCCAGTTCAAATTCTAAACCACTTTCACTAGTTTGCGCTTATCCAGGTCAACTTTGTAAACGTATTTATCTGATGTGATTTGCAACACTGTCCGAACAAGTGGGCCACTGTCTTGGAACGGACCGGGGATTCACAATTTCGTAAGATTAAGGGGAAAAATCGGTCATGTATATATTTGTCATGTGGCCAAGTTCCACCCGGGATGCGAGATCACCTTTAGACCAGGGGTCAGAGAAGCTCAAACGTCGAGAGAAAAATGGACCAGTACTTTGTAAAAACACACTCAGTAACACCGTTGCCATGTAAGGGCACGAGAATCCGTATCAGAAGTGCATAAAAGCTAGTTGTGACAGCAGCTGGCGACTATAAGTTAGTTGACTGCGGTTCAATTGGTGTCACTGAACACGAAGCGGCCCAGAGGAAGAGGACAAACCAAACAAGGTGAGTATGCCGACATTTCTTGCTTGTTTGATGCATGAGTTCCCGGAATCGAAGAATCTGTGAAAACCACACGCTGTTACTGCCTGTGATTTGTTGATCCCCCAGAGTCCACAAGACCTCTTTGTCTGTTCGTAGTATCTCTTTCGAACTGGATACTGCACCTGGAAGGAATCTTCTGTATCCCGGTAGATAGATCATAATTCAAATATCCAGCGCCTGGTTCACTGACGGCTGATATTGCCAAAAGCGTTAGACAAACTTGCCAGGTGAAGCAGCCCCTTCGCTTTACGCCATGTGATTAACTGTAAGATTTACTTAAAGCTGATTTTATCGAACAAGGAAGAGTGACTAAGTTCAAGTTCCGATGAGACCGGAACAGTGGGAGAATTCCGTAAATGTTCCACTTTTGAAAAAAGGTTGTTGGTCCAGGAGTGAAATTGGTGGAGTGATCTGCAAGAAGGAGCCAAATAAACGCGCACAATTCATTCTACGGTCAAGCAAACAATGCCCCCGTGCCCTGCACTAGCAATCCCAGATGTGCCGCCAACGTGAGGAGAAGTAAAAGTGGAAGGAAGTAAAGGCAAGGCAAGCAGAAACAATAAACGTAATAAGTTTGAGTGTAAACTAAAAGTTTAAGAAGGAGAAGGCATCAATAGAAAAGCGCAGATTTGAAAGGTTGGATTGTGCCTCGCACAGTCGGGGAATATACTGTTTGTTTATGTGTTCATCCATTAAACAAAGCGAATGGTGCGGTGACCACAGTTGTGCATAGAAGGAATCAGCAGTACGCCAGTACCCAGTACCAATGCTTCGCCGTCACGCAACCACCACCGTTCGCACGTGGGCTAAAGATACTGCGAGGGTCGCCTAATTCCCAAAGAAGGCTCGAACCCGCGCCCTCAAAGTACAAGCCAGGGCCGTCTTTCTTTAGACAGTGGAATGAAAATATATAGAAGGCTACATCTATTGAGCGAATATAAACGGCTCGTTTATGAACAAGTACACTATGCTTGGTGTAAATAACCGATTTGCTGAACGTAAAAATGGATTTTACGCGACCGGGTGAAAGCAGTTGAGATCGAAAAGAAATATTCATAGCAAAAAACCAAGTCAAAGATGGTGATTGAGGGCTCGTTTTGGAAATGGTTTACCACCGAGACCCAGACATCCACAGTGGGTAGAAAGAAAGAAATATAAGCTGTGAAGGGTATACAGATATGTACACTATCATTGCCAACAACATTAATTCTTCGGTTACTAGACAATGGTAATCTCAAGGAAACAAAAGCCACTCTTTCGATGCGAAGGGGTATGGCTAGTGAAAGAGGGTTTCTTCGGATTTAGTGATAGGTGGAGGTAGTGACAGCATTGATACTTGGAGACCCAAAGTACTAGAGCAGCCAAAGATCAAAACGTAGAGTTCCGATTATGCGAAGATGGGTAACATGATCAAAGCCAACTATCGCCTCGTATGATAGAGGGCCAAAAAGTTCTTACAGCTAAGGTATATCAATGAGCCGATGTAAAGTAAAAGCCAAAGCAAGTAGAGCACAATTTTTCTTTCGGCCTCCAAGTTACGCTCCAATGCAAGACTGTCTACTGGGGATTGTTAAGACCACAAGCAACAGACCCGTGAATCTGTGCCTTGAGATAATATCCCGATCAACTGTTAGCCAACTGCAGCTTTTCTGCTAAAACGCATTATTAAGATAGAAAATGCATGTGAGGGTAAGTATGTATGATTGTTTAGCGTTGTGAACGGCTACAACCCTTAGAGTAGTGAGGTATCGCAATGCACAAGTCTTCAGGTAAGATACAGGGCTAAAACTTCTAATGGTGAATCGTGTAAAAGGCAACACCTGCGAGACTGCATTCGTTAAAAAAAAATACCGAAGGGTGAAACAAAACGAAAATCGTTATCCGGTTGGGAATCCAGAGATTCCTGAATACCATCAACAGTTCTGCTTCAGAAACCGCAGATAAATGAACACGAAAGAACGAGTAATAAATAAGAAAGGGAGGCTCAATCGTTGAAGTGCCATCAAAATGTACGCCAGCATGAGCAAGACATCAATCGGGTCTGAGGCTTTACCGACCAGGACAGCGAATGAGAGGTTGAAACGGCGAATTCCCCGCGGTCAAAATCATCACCATAATACGAGGGTCATTCAATAAATAAGGTGTTTTTCGGTATAAGGACTTCTAATACAGATGAAAGTTTACTTTTTGTTTATCTTTGTTGTTTTGCTTCTTTCTCACATAGATGTAATTTCTCTTGCAGATTGAAAAAAAAACTTTGAGAGTTCTGGCGATTAACAAAGATAGCCGACCAAGAAGTATGCTCCAGGGTTGAACAGCGGTCAGTTATCAAGTTTTTGGTTGCTGAAGAGTGCAAACCAGTTGAAAGTCATAGGAGAATGTCAACTGTGTATGGTGCCACATGTTTCAGCCGAAAAAATGTCCACAGGTGGGCAAAATTGTTTAAAGAAGGACGGAGCAGTGTTGAGAATGAAGACAGGCCTGGGAGGCCTACAGAAGTGAGGTCTCCTGAGGTGATCGAATCAGTCAGTGACCTCATTCAGTCGGACAGAAGGGTGACAGTGGATGGCATTGCAAGGACTTTGAGCTTATCAGTTAGGACAGCACACAAAATTGTCCTGATGACCTAGGCTACTCGGAGGTCAGCTGCCGGTGGGTGCCAAAGATGCTTATTGAAGAGCACAAACGGAGGAGGGTCGAGTTGTGCCAGCAGTGTCTCTGCCGCTATGAGAAGGATGGTGATGAGTTTCAGAAGAAGGTGGTCACATGTGACCAGACATGGGTTTGCCAATATGAGCCTGAGTCCAAACGGCAGTCCATGGAGTGGAAGCACGTAGGCTCTCCAGTGAAGAAGTTCAAGTCCCAGCGGTTCACGAGGAAAGTGATGCTCACCGTTCTTTGGGATATGCAAGGCCCAATCACCATTTTATTCCTTGAGAAAGGAAGCACTGTGAACATTGACAACTACTGTGCACTGCTGAGGCAGATCAAGAAAGACATAAAGAACAAACGCATGGGTCATCAGTCAGAAGGAGTCATCTTGCATCATGACAACGCAAGGCCTCACACAGCAGCCCGAACGGTACAGACCATTAACTAGCTGGGTTGGGAGTTGCTCCCTCATCCCCTTATAGCCCAGACCTTACCCCTTCAGACTTTCACCTGTTTGGCCCATTGAAAGCGTTTACGAGAGGCACGAAGTTTGAAAGTGACGATGAAGTCAAAAGTGTTTTGGGCGACGGACTGAGACATCAATCCAAAGATTTTTACGCTGAGGGAATACGGAAGCTTGTGCACAGATGGGAAAAGTGTGTGACAGTGCTGGGAGACTACGTTGAAAAATAAAATGTAAGCTTCTATCTGTATTAGAAGTCCTTATACCGAAAAATTTACCTTGTTTATTGAATGACCCTCGTGTATGACAGCGTATAATCAAAGGGGTAGTAAAGAAAAAGAAAAATCGGTTGATTTAATGCATACCACTTGTACGCCGTCCCGTCGTAACTGAAGAAGCAGTTCTGAAAGAAAGAGAAGAAAGTTATGAAAGTAGCATGGAGTTTGCAGGCTTAAGGATTACATACATGAGGGGACATCCAATCAGAATCCAAGGAACAGCCTAAGCAAACACACTGTATTAAAAAACCTGCTTATATTTTCCTAAAAAACAGTGCAGTTAGGTCGCAAGCGACATGAAAGAAAAACCGTATGAAGAGGGCTGAAAAGATAGAAACTTGCGGTAGTGACTAGACGATAGGATGGCCCGTAAATTCATTACTCATTCATTCTACACAGAAGCCGCAATGTAATTCAGTAAAACGACAGTAAAGTAAGGAAAAGACAAAATAAAGATCTTGCTATGCTCTGTTTCATATTATGCAATAACGACGAGATGGTGGTCGGAAAAGGAAGCCAGACGGAAGGCGAGATAAATAAAATGACAAGATATACGTCACCTAAATCGGTTCTACAAGTCAACAAGAGTATCATCGGCATGAAGATTACACGATAGCTGAAGGTAAGAAGCACAATTCAGCCAGTGGGCTGCAACACAAATAATATATAAAAAAGCAAAATACAGAATATCGAAGAATACAACATAAAGAAACCAAAATGTAATAGGATGCATCATAAGAGAGGATGGGACCAAGACACTCACAACACGAACGCAAATGGGGCCGGCTCTTCACCATATCAGCAAGTGTATCCAATCGAACGTGATGATCGTCTGTAGGACGCCAACTGCGCAGTGAAAGACTTCGTTCCACTTAAATAAGTCAACACTTGCCCTTCGTTTCTCTTCTATCCAGACCCCGGGAACACATACAACGCATGTCGCAGAAGTCAGTGTGCTGCCATGCGTAACATACGACCCCCATTGGTGACTGGTGCGCGACATATTGGTGTTGAGCGGTCCATTTGGTTTTCCTGTGCCTTAAACAGAACGCCGAACAAGGACATTGCTTAAGCGGCTGGCTAGCCGAACTACCCCCTAGTGGCGCCAGCTGAGCGGTTCGGGTTTACTCCGTTCCAGCAAATAGTTCCGCGGCATTGTTCCAGGACTTGGTGGGTTTTTGCCTAGCAAGCGATCACCCTAAAGCCACAACTATCTGGTTAACAACACTGCGACGTGGCGATTGTGACTCGCCGCTCGCCTACCGGACAATCGTATCCAATCCACATACTTCAAGTATCCTTTCTGACACTGGTGACGCGATCAAAGAGAGTCAAAGGTACGGTAACACATTTAGGAAACTAAGCAACACAGCTACATACAAGCAGCTACACATTTACATACATTCATGGATCCACAGAGATGACAATTCAGTTATAGTTTCGTATAATATACGAGCACACATCGTATTTTTACCATGATTGTGCATGGGCAGGTGTACCTCGCGTAGTCGAGAATACACAAGTTATTTAATTATTTGTGAGTCAACCTGTGAGATCATCAGTGGTCGAACGGAACAAGCCTCTTTATTTTGTCGATTTGACGCGCAAGATCTCTGATAACCGTAAAGTAGGGTTGAACGGAAGGCTGCGTTGGAGACTCTACCCACCAACAGGGCAAGCGTGATATCGTGCTGACGCCACAGGCGGCGTAGATTAACAACATCGTGACGAGGTTTTGATATACGGTTCGTGACCTCACCTACTATCCAACAAACGTGGATACAACTACCCAGGTAGTTGAATTGATGAGCAACATTGGGCTAATCACCATTGAAGGTCAACGCAAGATTCGGTCTATGCCAATCTTGGAGAAGCAGTTTAGATTTCGAGGGTGTAAAGAATAGCCCAAAACGGATAACAACCAGTGATAATTTGTCCAGTGCTGCTCGGCACATTTGTGAGCTGTGACAGATAAGGTCAGTATCATTGTCATACTGGAAGTCGGAAAGTTAATCGTCTCGAAGCAACTTTACACCTAAGTTATGCCCAGTGAACAGAGTTTCCATGAATTCATACATGGCGGTTAGAAAAGGAAATGACAACGGGCAACCTGATCTCACACCGCCGAGAAAGTGAAAGGCGGCGACAAATTGTCACATGCTCTCACTCTGCCCGGACTATGCGTCGTTGTACCGAGTAACAACGGTACCTCACCCAACACATGCAGAAAGAAAGCAGAAGGTCATCAGTAGTGTGCCAGTAAGCCGTACCGAACAATCACCTCGGAGTGTAAGCAGTCTACAGATACAGCGAAGTCGCCAACCCTTACGCAGGTCCGAACCGATGGGCGCTCGGTCACAAGGCAGACGCTTTATCATTTCGCTCACCGATGGAATCACATATACACACAAGAAGAGATCACTGAACTGATGTGTGTTACAAAAAAAATGATAGAAATGGGGACGGACTTGAAGGATATGTTATGATAGCGCTAAACGCGGAGGGAGTCCAGCCAAGCTTGAACATAGTACAAGTAACAGCCTGCACAAACCGTGAAGCCCTGTCACATTCACACAGAACGACGTGTAGTTGGAGAGGAAGAAACACTTGTAGCCTCTGCAATGTGGTCAGCATTAAATGCCACACACAGAAGTTTCTGTGTTTTGCAGTAGGTCGTTATGAATGTCTCAGGTCCTTCACAAGCCGCAAACATACCTGTCGCAAAAATGAATAGGGCACAAAACCGCAATAATTGTTGTCCCCCGGGAAATTGTGGCACTTTTCTATGCGGTGATATGTGTCCATTTAAGCATATAAGCGGAGATGTGTGCACATTAGCATACAAAAGCGGTTCTTAACCTTTTTGAGGTAGTTACCCACAAAGCAGGCTCATTATAAACAATAAGTCCCAAAAAATGTTAGTTCGATAAGCTTAGTAACAAGTAACTATTGCAAATGTGCTGTAAATTAGGGAAAATAAACACTAGTTGGAATTACATTTTATTATTCAAATACGGAAAACACCTGTTTTGAGCGATTTTTAAGTAATCAAGAGGTGGTGTACATTAATGAGACGGCTGAAAATGCTAAGTGCTAACAGTTCATAGTATATTTGGTGAGGTTTCGGCTAATGCACATCGCAGATCATGTTCCAAGTTTATTCGGTCCCTTGCTTTGGTGTACTGACTACTTATTACTGGTTAGAAGCAGCAAGCAGAGTTTGCTCTGTGTAGCTGCATTAATTGTCACTCATGGACAAATACCTCTTATGTTGTGTTCCGCTCAATATATTTTGCGTCAGCAAAGCGTTTGTCAACGAGCTTCTTAAATTCCGACACTGACCTTGCCTCAACTACGTGCTGCGGCAGGTCTTTCCATACATTCACCACTCTGCGTCCGAAACAGAGTTGGTGAGCGACCCGCTCCAAATCCGGTACGACAAGCTTATACCGGTGTCCTCGTGTGCTGCTTGGGGTGCGCAGATGTAGCAGTGGTCTCAACATGGGGCAATCACCCAGATGTAATATCCGGTGCATCATGATTAGGTCAACCCGCAATCGACGATAAGCTAAGGTGGAAAGCCCTAGTTTCTAACACCGGTCTTCGTACGGCACACCTCGTAAGTTGGGAATCAGCCTGGTGGCTACATGCCGCACTCGCTCAATCTTCTACTGCGCCCCGGGTGATAGGACAATACGCTGGAGAGCCATACTTTAGCATTGGTCGTATTATTGAGATGAAGAGGCGAGAGGCAATCTCTTCGGACCAAGTGCTGAAGCTGCGCCTGAGCGCCCAAAGCATACGAAGGCTGTTTTGGTAAAGCCTATTCGTGTTGTCCATGGATTTTAGGTCGTAGTGTGAGAGTACACCGAAGTATCACACGAAAGGCGTGGGATGCAACGGCTGACCAGCCACTGTGTAGGTTAGACTGTGCTCACACTTACCCAGCCTCATGAATTGCGACTTGATCGGGTTGATCGGTAGGTTGACCCCTGCAGACCACGTGGAGAGGCAGTCGAGGTCCCGTTGAAAAATTAGTGTCTGCCACTTATGCATATGTCCAAGCAAACAATACGAGCGGACATGCCAGGAGTGGCCAAAACTATGTTGCAAGCACATGGTCCCGCATGATCAGTGGCTTCTCATTTGTTTCAACCATACCTTCCGTGTGCTTCCTGGATGACATATTACGTCCTGAACACTGATCGTCTGTTTTGTCCCTTCCTAGCTCCTTTAACTAGTCCGCTAACATATGATCTCACCTTAGGATTCACTCAACTCTGTAATTCGAATCGGAGAACGAGTGCCCGACTCAAAAGAACAACGATCGACGAGCGAGCCGGTAGAGGTACCATCTAGCTGCGCTGCTTTTCAGACTTAAATTCGTTAGAGAATAAAATTTATTGACGAAAACTTGCCTATTCACTGACCATTCACTAAGGAGTTATCACTGATTGCTATTCAATGGTGATTGGGTAGTTAATTTTATGTTTTGACATAGATAATTTTGTTAAGTGATAGATTGGTGACCCAACCCTCGTAGTTATATGTGCCCCACCTGAAATTCCATTTTACCTTCTTGGGGATAATTACCCCAAGGTTAAGAACCACTGGCATAGAACTATGAATAGAACCGCATTTTTGGCTGAGAAAGTAGTTCCGGCGAGGACCGTAGAATCAGAAGTCAATAAAGAAAACAAGCTTGTTTTTAGTGGTTCTCATCAGGGTTGTAGGCCACAGCAGATAGATGGGGACAAAACTGACACCGGATAAGCAAATGCGATGAGCCACTGAAACAAATTGTCTAATCAATATGGTTATGTAACCTCGTAGTATTGTTTCCGGGAACAACAGGGCACCGCTAGGAACCAACAATCATAACCAAGTCTCCATTGGAGGTAAGCGGTGATCAGGACGATAGCGCACTTCTGCTAGAGATATAGGTTGGGTCTTTTATATGGGCAACAAACACCAGACAGACATATCGGGCTATATTGTAGTTAGATTTCAACCCGTGATGGTTGGCTATCGCCCCATGGCTCAGTAATGTAGGCCGCTGGCTAGTTGTGCATGCCGCTAGTGATTATGGGTTCGATCCCCACGACCGGCGAATCCCAATAAGGCGAAATGATCGTTTGGTGCTTTTCCGGATTGGCAGCTCACCTATGTGGCTTGTAATCTGATTGTGGTGCACTAAGAAAAAATCACATGCTTATTTAATGAACAGGCAATCGATGTTGGTCAGTTGCACTCCGCGATGCACGTGTAGAATCGCAAACTGCAGAGCAGAAGGGCTATGGGTTATTTCATTTAACACATGATTAGTAATGCTGACACTAGTTTTTCCAGATAAGTGTGCCATATTATTTTCCATGTTTAAGACAGAATGGTTATAGCATATTATCTTGAAGCGGTCAAATAGGGGATCACGCCAGACACTCGTTTCTGGTAAGTCGAGATTTGTAAATAAGCGATTGGCTGTGGCCGTAGTGTAGTCGTCTAAACGACGAATCGATAGGTCTTCTCAAGCAAAAGATGCTAGACAAAAAACATCGATGAAGATACCGTCTTGGTAGAGTGCATATGACTCTGGGACGTTTAGACAACAAGCATCAGTGGGCCATTGACCGGAGTATTTAAACGCCCTTACAAGACAATGCACAATCGCAGTAGATGTCCGCTCTGATTAAATCTGGGACTCAGGTAGCTGCGCTCTAGTAGTGTTACGGTAAATGATTGATCGACGACACGTTATGTGACCGTTTCAATACGAGCAACGATAACAGCCAGTGCCTAGTGAGGCAAGAAGAATAAAGAATGCTTACTACTTAACCCCGTAAATTTCGCTTCATTGGAATCTGCAAGAAGCGGCTCCTAAAACACAACGGAAAGGAACAAGTTTGCTACACAAAAGGGATGTTGGTATGACTGATTCCCATTTTGGCTCATAAACAATCATTTCTGCTAGGCAACTTTAGGTACCATTTCTTGCACAACATATCGTGCGATACAATTTTTGATAGGGTAGCACATGTTATGCGATTTCCTTCGTTATGATCAACACGATACTACATGTTAGACAGGGGTGAAAACCACCCCCCAGCTATTGTGTCGAAATACAACCCAATAAGATGGCAGTAAAAAGAAGGGGCAAACAAAAATATTACTGTTATTCTATAGTATGCATCGGTGTCGAGGAAGCTAAGTGGAATGGGGTGAGATAAAGAAACTCAACACATATACCGTTGGAATCAGTGATTGTCTATGTCAGCAAGCCAACGTATTCAACGTCTTACCATCTGAAACCTACGGGGGTCCCACTAGTTAAAAAGCAGGGTTTAATCCGCAGCATACATTTTAATTAATAATTGCCGTCCCCAGAAAACAAGTAGGTCGGACACGAAGTTGTGCCCAAGGGAGTAGACTGATAGATAAGACCATCAATGTGATACCCCAACTATATGTTAGCCTCAAAGTTGGAGAATTCACTCCCTCAATTCTGGGCATCTTTGTGGATCTGACCAGTCCCTTAACTGCTCGACATATAATAATTTTAAAAAAACACATTCTAGGCGATCTGGTAGAGGATGGATGTCATCTCTCTCGAGAAATTCGGGGTTTAAGTCTGGTATTCCTCTGAATAGTTTGGGGTTATGTTGCGTATCGAAAATACCGGATATTACCGAGTATAAACCCATCTATGTCCCATGCTGAGGCTGATGTTGCGTTCTTGATGCTTCTTCACCGCAGTTGGGCTAAACCAACTTACACTAAAATTACGTCTTTTTAAGCTAGATATACTTCACTCCACTTTACTTGGTTTGTTCTGCCTCTCTGAATAATGTTTTATTAACTGGCCACGTTGCTTACACTAATAGCGGTTATCTTCGGTAGCTTTCTTGCGTTGGTAGCATTTTTAAGTAACTTGTGGACATTTTTTACTTATCGCGGATTCATTGCTAACCAACTTACCTCATCTGCTAATTTAGCGAAGAGATGCCACCGTATCTGTATGCATTATTCGATTTATTTTATTTCATCTTGTCGTTTCAAATGATTAGCTGTTGCTTGATATCCCCGGTGTGGCTGCGCTTGATGTGCAGGTTGGTAAGGTGCCTATCTGTCTATTACCCACTACCTCGTCCATACTGGCTCTAGGAGACAGTTGATAGTTGCTGGAGGGGACGGAATGCACGGTCCTAGTGGCCGTGCTAGGCTCGAAGAGCGGTTCCATGCACTCAGTGTGGAGCGGACTACGGTCCACCCACCGCCTTGTGTGCGCTTGATTCCCAAATACAGTGTGCTTGTGTTTGCCTGTGAAGGAGTGTGGGCCGGCTCCGTTGATGAAACGTGGCTCCCATCCACATGAATCCTGGTCTTATTCCTTCGGGTTTACACTGGATATGGGGTGTGTGGTTGGAGCTGTGGATGGTTCAGCGCAAGCCACCCATGGTCCCGCTGCAGGCAAATCCGAAACCGGATGCCGCCAACTATATAAGCCCGTGTATGGATAGACCGACACTATAACATTGCAATATCGAATTCGTCCAAAGTCATGAGTCCCTATATTAACCGATCTATAAAAAGTCAGCAAAAAAGGAAACGAAATTGTTTCGCCACGAGTTTGACGTCACCACTACCTGCTCTAACTTGAGTGTGTGTTCAAGCTAAATCTGTTCTACTACTATTGGTCAGTTGTGGTGACCGTAATGTATGAGCGGTTTGGATACGCTGCCCAAAATGGCGCTAACGCGACGTAACATACGGGTGATGCTAAGGGAAGATAGGGGCAGAGTTATGCAATGAAATCATGGGTGGATTTTGAATGTGATATGTTCAAATTGCGTATAACCTCTTCATAATCCGACACCCTCCACAGAAATGTAAACCAATCCAAAATGTATCGGCTTGTATTCGGTAATATACGGTATTCTCTTCCTTACCGAATCTTTCGGCATATTTCATTACTCAAACAAAACGCTACCATATAAAACCAATCATTTCTGAAGTATCAAGTTGCATTATAAACCTCGCGCCAAACCTTCAGGCCCGTTGCCATGTTCTTGAAACCTGCGTCTTAGTCTCCGTACCCGAAGTACCCAGGCCACAACAACCGTGCTGTTTTAACTACTTTTCCCGCTGTTCCTCACCTGGCTGCGAACGCTTAATTAAGCAGCTCATCGGTGTTTGTTGAATCAATGTGGTCCTTGATGCTTAACGACTTTCCGTGATGCAAAGGGGCATCAGTAGTACACCGGTACGCAGTACCGATGCTCAGCTATCATGATGCAACCAACACCGGTTGCGCATGGGCCAACGATATTACGAGGGTCGCCCGGTTCCCTACACAGACTAGAGCCTGTGACATCCGAGTTCCAAGGTAGGCGTGGGATCTTTTCAGTCACCGGCCGCTCTCTCTTCTACACGAACCAGCCCCAGTTTCCCAAACACACAGTCGTAACCAACTGGATCAACCAGCGAAAATGTCGGGTAGGAAGCATTCTCTTAGGACGCTTCTACGTAATGTGTGTCACCTAGAAGTAAAGCGCATACGCTTCGCCCCTCGGTCTCGCTTTTTGGACCAGACTGTGTTTTACTCGCCGAAACGGGGCTCACTGATGACCTTTCACAGACGTGTCTACATACCAAGAGGAACAAGTTTTCAAGTATAAAATTTCAGGACAAGGAGGTGGGCGCATTATCTATGTTCTCAGTTAGCTCCAATTATCAATACTGCCTCTAAATGGCAATATTGACTCCATTTTAGAAATGGTACCACAGGCAACACCAAGTAAATAATCTCTTGTTCTGTAACATAGAGGAACAGCGTACTAGTAATAAAATAATAGTAATAGTAATAATAAAATAAAATATCAATATGTCTGGAATCCAGTAGGTGTCCTATATTAAAGCTTAGTACCCACTTTACAAGAGATCGAATGGACACAGCGTGTCTATCCTTCAACATAGAACCACCGCGTCCTAGATATGTTGTTAAATCTGGGCTTATAAGATGAGTCCATTGAAATCCATCGTAAATTCTAAGACAGTGGTCACAAAGTAGCTCTGTCACAGAAATACGCATTAAGTTGATCAAAATTAAGTTTATAAGGGTCTGAAAACGATCGGTTAGAATATTAGATAAGCAGTGGAGATCGCGTTTGACAGAAAGGCCTCGTCCGGCCAAGTGGATCCGTTTCATAGCAAGGCACAGAATCCGCAGTTCAGCCACACAATCTCCCATACTTACAGGGTCAAATGGGTCAGCTATCGGTTATTTCACATATACAAGTAACCTCTAGAAATATAAGACCCGCATCCAATGTGTAGGCGGGCTCGGAATCGCGACTCAACTGGAATGCATTACATGGAATATGCAGAATAGCGATTAAAAGTTGGACAATCACCTGACATCCGACTGAGCGATTTCACCGGCAGTCCTAACGTTGTATGGTATGATAATTGACGGAGTGGTATTTGCTTGACATTGGGGAAGGAGTTTGTACGAACTAGATACGTGAATGTCATGTTCATCCGTTTTGGCGGTCGTCTTGACAACAGAGTCGTAAGGACAGCCATGGGGTAGAATTGGAGGATTGAGGGGTCGACCACGCAGCGAGGCTGATAAGAGCGAAAATGGGTCAGAAGCAGTTTGGACATTGTACTTAAGATAGCAGCCTGAGTTGTGTGTAAAAACAAGAATGATAGTAAGAAATGAATTTGAGGCAAGACGTCGATCGGAAGGAAAGCCAGAATATATAGCGGTGTAATCATGAAAAACGAAAACTAATGCTAACAAAAATGTGTTACTAATGATGGCAAAAAGCGTGAGTATGAGAATCTGGACACCTCCCGGGTGTAGCAAAAGGAATGCAGCTGTACATAAAATAGATGCAGGCTAATGTATAAAGAAAACGGGATTAAGGTGAAAATAAGAGCACCTCCACAAATAATACTAACGAGATAGACTACGTCACTGTATCTCAGTACAGGGCGCAGACCTGCGGATGTGCTTCGACGGACGACCATGGGGACGTTGGGAGCGCATTGACACCAGCCAACTGGCGAAGCCAGCTGTTCTGAAAGCCCATCAAAGTACGCTGCCATGCGAGTTGGATAAACGCTCAATAGATGCAACTGAAGCTTACTGGTCTCATATGCAACAGGCCTTACTAGCAGCAGGCAAATCCTCATGTGGTATGTCTAATCGCCAACATGGACATTGGGTCTCTTCACAGTCTCTGGAACTTATAGATGCTCGCCGGCATATTCCGGCTGGAAGTGAACACAATGAAACTCGCAAAGAGCTCCGGGCAAAACTCCGTGCTAGCCTGAAGAGAGACCGCGAATCCTGGCGGTCTCATCGAGCATCAAAGATGGAAATAGCCGCTGCCCTTGGTAACCATCGTAAGTTATTCCGGCTGATACGGGAAACGGGCAGCAGAAGACCTGGTGTTAGTGAAACAACTTGTGACGAGAGTAGACAGCCTATCCACAACTTACCAAAACGCTTGGAACGTTGGGCTGGACACTTTGAAAGGCAATTTAATCGGTCGAAATGGTTAGATTACTCGCCGGATACTGATCGCCCCGCTCCCTGGGCTGTCCCGTTGGATCCACCCTCTCGCTCAGAAGTCGAACATGAGATCAAACTGTCGAAGTTAAATAAAGCCGCAGGACTTGATGATCCTCCTCCAGCCCTCTTCATATTCGGGGGACCTGCTCTTGTGGATGATTTACACGAGTTACTAGTCAAACTGTGGGAGCAGGAAACTGTCCCAACCGACTGGAGCCGCTCCACCATAGTCCCAATTTCCAAGGGAGGCTCACGATCGGAATGCGGCAGCCATAGAGGAATCAGTCTGATCTCTGTCGCCTCCAAATTGCTTGCTTCTGTCATCCTTCACAGACTGACTGACACTCGTGAAAGCCAGATTCGTGAAGAGCAAGCTGCATTTCGTCGAGGTCGTGGCTGCATTGACCACATCTTCACCTTGTGTCAGTAGTTGGAGCACCGTCACATATATTGGCGGCCCACCGTTGTCGTGTTCCTCGATATCAAAGGTGTATTCGATTCGGTGGGTAGACATGTATTTTGGGACTGTCTACTCAGGAAAGGTATACCTGAGAAATGTGTAAATATTATCCGAGGATTATATGCGCGTAGCTCGCGCAGAGTGAGGGCTTACGGCAAGTTGTCGTCGCCGTTTAATATATCCAGCGGCGTGAGACAAGGATGCCCACTGTCACCTTTCCTCTTCAACTTCACTATTGACGAAGTCATGAAAATCGCGTTCTCAGGACACGACTTAGAAGGTGTGGATCTGCTCACAGGAGAACGACTTCTTGACTTAAAGTATGCTGATGATATTGCCCGAATCTGTGACAGCTCACAAACGTGTCAAGCGGCACTGGACAGATTAGCACTAGCTGTCCGTCACTTCGGGCTTTGTTTCGCAACCTCGAAGTGCAAAGCGTTCCTCCAAGATTGGTCTGGACCGCCTCGTACGCTGACCGTTGGTCGGAATCAGCTAGAAGTCGTTCAAAAATTCAACTACCTGGGAAGTTGTATCAGTGCCCGTGGGACTGAAGATGAGATCAGGAACCGTATAGCAAAAGTTCGGGACGCTTTTGCTAACCTTCGTCACTTACGGCGTCGGCGCGACATGACTCTTGCCCTGAAGGGTAGAGTGTACAATGCAGCAGTACGTTCGACCCTACTGTACGGTTGTGAAACCTAGCCCATTAAAGCAACGGACCTGAAGAGGCTAGTTACGTTCGACCATCGGTGCCTTCGCAATTTAGCTCACATCTGGTGGGAACATCGCGAGAGCAACGAGCGTATTCGATGCTTTGTTTACGGCACAGGAAAAGGAAATGAACCGCTCAGCACCGTCATTTCACGCACCAGGCTCCGATGGCTTGGCCACTTGTTACGCATGCCAGCCCACCGACTCCCGCGACGTGCGTTATTTGCTCGCCGGGGTTGTGGATGGAAGAATAGGAGGGGTGGCCAAGCGATGACTTGGTCGAGAGACATGAAGGCCCTCACTTTTGAGCTGGCCTCAGTTGGAGCGTCTCGGCTCCCTGGTTGGGGTCCGAAAGACGATGAACATGTTCGGTTGGACATACTTGCTGATATGACTAGGAGCCGACCTCAGTGGTGTTCGTGCTGTGAGTTTCTTTGTCCCACCCCATCTCTCTTAGCCTTCCCCTCCAACCACGATCTCATTAGTTAGCCTTATATACTTTTGCATAGCAATTTTTTTCTGCTGCATATTAGCTGGCTGGTAGCTTAGCGGAACGATGCCCATCCATTACCGGTAGCTCAGACGGCTTGCACCAGTTGTATTTTTTCTTCTTTTTCTATGTATTGCAGCACAATAGCTGAGGTGTTCCCCACCTCCTGCTAACGTGTATGATGATGATTATCTCAGTACAGGCGATCAGCCGCCTTGTTTCGGAGTGTTATCTGTCACTCGCACGCGAAAAAATAACGTAACACTTAAATGTAATGTTATATGCTATATGGATAGGCAGCATCTGTGACCGGATTTGCCGGTTTCTGCGGCTTCCACAGGACAGTCACAGGACGTCTGCACCTAATGAGGGGCCATAGATGGCTTGCGTTGTACAGCTCACATACCAAATATCTGGCGTAAACCCGAATCAATAAGACCGGTACGCAGGTGGATGGGAGCCATGTTTCAACAACGGAGCCGGCTCACACGCATTAAACAAGCAAAACTGAATCATTCATGCCTAACTGGGAAAGCATGCGTAGCAGATGTACATAAGGCGGTGGCTGGACCGTAGTCCGTTTCACACTGGTTGCATGGAACCACTTGTTGAGTCTAGCAGGACCACAAGGACCGTGCACCCCACCCACCCACAGCAACTATTCCGTCTCTTGGAGCCATTAATCGAGGCGGAGGCAGTTAGACAGGTAGAAGCACCTTGTCAAGATTCACATCAAGCGCAGCCACACCGGAGAGATCAAACAAGCAACACTCAATTTGAAGGAAAATAAATACGCAATATTTGATATGGAATATACAGCAGAGTAGCAGAACTGAGCAAATCAAATAAAGTGGATTACTTCTTATCCAGAATAGGAAGGTCTACTTATGTGTTGGTCTTGGCATGTCAGCAAGCTAGAATTAACTTAAAAAGGTAGGTCACAAAAAGAATGAAAAAGTAGTCGGCAACACGAGCAAGATAAGCCCAACAAGGGGTAAAAGTTAGATGTGGATCATACTTCTTACGCAGATGCAATACAGACAATGCATGGCACCAAGTCAGTAGTTAGTCACTCTACAGTGAAATGATATCCAAGCGAATTGCATGCTCAATGGAGTACTAATGACACAAAGTAGATGACAGAGATAGAGCAAGCAATTTTTAAATTTATCAAGAAAATGATGCACATAAGTTAACTGTTGCAAAACAACACCACTGATTTTCTTAAAGCTTTGTTAAGTTAAAGTCGGTGGATGAAGAACGGAAAATATTGCTATGCTCACTCTCATGACTGGCACGTGACCCCGAACATGAAACATCAACATCATCATGCTAATCGCTAGTCAGTTACTTGCCGGGACTGCTCACTTTCCACGGATGTTCCGGAGAGATTTGTCATGAGATGCATAGTCCAACGTGGTCATCCAAAACGACGAAACGCTGTAGAGTACTTGGACTCGAAAGATAGTTGTTGAATACTGCGCCCATTTATTTACCTCAACGCTATACCGTGATACGATTCTAGGGACACTGGCCATCTCCTACAAATCGTTTCATCTGAATAGAACCGTTTACGCAGTCAACGCGAGTGAGCGATGCGCTTCCGATGAGTGGGCAATTTTCTTACCGATGGCCGTCTCAGTGCGACAAATTTAGGTACCAAATCGCTGACTCAAAAAAGTCAGAGCGTAAATAAGTAACTAAATAATTTATTCTCGACAATGCGAGGTCCGCTTGCATAGTTTTGATCATGGTAACAGGACAACAAATCGGAAAATGTGTCAAAATGTCAAGTTTATCAGTAACATAATGGATCTATGTATGTAGAATTATATTTATGTAGTTGTATTAGTTTGATCTGTAAAAGTGCTGCTGCATTTTTACCGTATTAGATCGCATGGTCGGTGTGGGGAAGGATAAGAGAGAAGCTTCGAAAAGCATGACTGACGTCCGTGGAGTGAATATGTCCATTCAGATAAGCCTACATACGTTAGCAACATGTGAGAAACACATTAGCTACTGTGTCGCAAACAAGACACTTAAACAAGTGTACGAGAAAGGCGAAGCAAAAAGCAATTAAACAAGTAATATCAGGATTGGATGGGCCATTTCGAAGTACTCGCTGTGTGAACGGATTGCGACGCGTAACTCTAATGTGGACCGCAATTCGCACTGAAGTGAATCTTGGTCAACACAATCACTGGGACTATAACTGCTGTAACAGATGAATGCTAAGCGTTGCTAGCCTGAAAACACCGCATTTCATGATGCGTTACGATCCTACTGGATCTCATCCGGTAGAGACAGCAGGCATCAAACTTGGTGACATTCGGATATGAGCCGAAGCCTTTAATCCCTAAGCTACTGAGCAGCCGGGACCA